TTTCCCTCTCTCATTGCTACCATCTTAAGTACAATTTAACACAACTCTTGACTACGATAAAACATAGCTAACAGTTGAACCACACTCCTCTTCCAGCAATTAACAAACATTCAGGAAGAACATACCCACATGCATATTGATCTCCCCATATTGCGTGCAGTAATACCTTGTATATGTCAGTGAGTAATGCAAGGAATGTTTTTCTTCAAGACTAATTACTATTTTTTAAATTGAAGAATGGAATTTTCAATAATAGTCTAAATAAAATTCATAAAAGAAACTGACTAGGTGATGAATGCCTCATCATGCAAATTTCTTTCAAATACAATCAGATTAATTAAAATCATCTCCTGTTTTAAAGAAGTTAGACTATTATCTATGCAATTATGATGGACAGAGGAAGTCAGATTCAGAGATACGGTTAAGTGAACATTTTTATAAAGACTAATTGGAAATACTCTTGAGACTTTCTTGACAAAAGGGAAGTGCAGTGCCATCACCTTTCATGCCACTGTGTAAAGCCTGACTTTTTACAAAACATAACTTTTCCTACCTCCAAGTCTCTGAGAAGCCAGGTCTTACTGAAGCCAGTTCCTTTACTACATTTCTTTACTAGAAGCTTGAGTAAACCAGACTGAAGAAAGGCAGCTTGGACCTCCTTAAAGCCATGAATCTACACACACAGGCAGACACAAACAAATAAGTAAAAACGGAACAAGGCATCACAATGCTTGCAAGGCCTCAGATAAATTTTCTCTCATACGGCCTCAGATAAATTTCCAGCCCAAATGAACTATGTTGGCAATATTTTCCTTTCATTTCCCTAAAAAAATCTCAAAATACAAATCCCACTTCAAATACCTTAAAGGTATCATCTGTGACATACACACAGTAGTAATTATATATCTGTTTTGCTCTGACAGTTCAAAAAAAAATAAAGATCCCCTCTTCAAACACTTCAGGAGTAAGAAAAGGGGCAAGTGAGCTTTACTCCGTAAAGTGTTATCCCTATGAATTTCTTCTTCAGGTTTCTTAAATGGTCAGCCCCCACAGAGGAAAAGCAATCCAACTTTCAATTCAGACTCACACATGCTATTTAAAGCCTGGTAACATTTTCAACTCCCAACAGACAGGGGAAGATAAAAGGAGCCAGCTGTGAGAGAAACGAACTCGTGTTAGTCCCTATGTGCTCAGTCAATACCCAAGTTCCTGTAGCACAAGGTAGAATACTTTTATTTATATTATAAATATAGATACCTTAAGTGTTCTGTAAAGCCCCTTTAGAGCGAGTGACAAGACCCAAGTGGCTTCCACTGCCTCAGCATAGCTACTGTCCATGCTGGTTTGCAGAAGGTGTGTGGCTATAAGAACAAAGTGCTGGAGGTACTGTCTCAGCTGGGTCTGGGAATCACTGCCTTCTTGTCCACATTTCTGAATCAACTGATAGTCTTTCACTACAAGAGTGAAAAAACACAGCTCACTAGGTTGATCTTAAAATGTTGTGAAACCACATCTTACCAGGAGATACGAGTAGGCTGAGACATGAACATGATCCATACATGAAGTACATTCCAATGACAGTCTTGTAAAATTATCTCAGATTCACTGAGTAGTCAAGAAAATATTTCATTTTTCAGTGCAAGTTAAAAAACCTCTAGGTAACTTCTGGCAATAGTTGGTTGTCTGCACATATTTACACATAAACATTTCAGCATACAAAGCAGCGCATGTTGTATTTTACAGTTAAAGCGGGGAAAATTCTGACCTGCAATCAATGTGATGAAATAAATCCTGCTGATCTTACTGTTTAAAATGTCAACAGTTAAAAAAAAAAAAAGGCAAGCTTTTGTATTCAAATCTTCCTTCAATATCAAAAAGCAGTTTGGTCTGTTGATTTTTCCAAGTGTCTTTTAACCAACTTCAATAGTCAAATCTTAGGACAAACTATGGTTTATTAACTTTACAATATTAGGTCATGTACGCCAAAGCTGAAAGCTCCTAGAAATCCAACTGATTTGTTATATTTTAAACGTTTAGCCTGACTAATTTTTAAACAAGGTGAAACACAGGAAGAAAATTCTCTCTGGTACAACTAATGCGACCCAGGTGGCAGCATCCAGCTCTGGGGTTTTGTTGTTGCTTTCTGGTGGTTTTTGTTGTTGGAGGTATTTTTTAATAGCCTTTAGGCACCATAATAGCCAACACACTGTACTGTTGTGCCCTAGAATGGATTATTCTAAAATATCCAGACACGTTTCCTGGACTATAAGCTATTTCAGGCTGTATAGCTCTTCTTAATTTTTGTCTCAAATTTTAGGGGTATCTTCAATGGTTTTCACTTGCTAGTAGTTAGCACATCTTGCCCACAGTGGAAATACGCATTTCATAAAAATGCAGAGTATTTTTTGAGCAACAAAACAGACTATCCCAAAAATGTTCAGGCTCTGAGTATCTTTCCTTTATATAGCAGCATCTAAATACACAGAAGCAACATGCACATTTTTTAAATTTGCAATTGTTTTAAAACTTTAAGCACATGTTTGTAACGGATAAGAGACAAACAGTAAGCAAAACTCAAAACAGAAACAATCGCTTAATCAAAAGCCTATTTCTGAGATTTCTCAACTAATAAGATGGTCTCAACGGTTTCCTAAATCCTTTTCTGATTGAAAATAAATGTCAGAGTTTTAAAAAGAAAATGAGTCTCCATAATCTTTACTGCAGAAGCTTCACAATTGGGTTTAACCTACAAACAGAAAATCAGGTGACTTACTAGAGTTCAAACTCTGCAGACCTGCACAAAGTGTTCTAGTTAAAATATGCTTTTGGGTATCCATAAGCAACTGTAAGGAAATACTCTGTGATTCTTTGATAAAATAAAAGTGTCACAGAACCTGTTTTTCTCTTTCGGGATTTGATGTCTACTACGACTGCCCTGTTTTTCTCAGTGAAATGCTTCAGGATGATCACGTTGTGAGGCTCATTAGCATTATCCACGTACACAGAACGCGTCCCCATACACAGCACCTGAAATTGCAGCAAAAGTTTCAGTTACGATTTGAAATACTTATTTGTAAATACACAGTTGTCTTTCATATTGGTTACATTTGCTTATACTTAATACTGTAGCTTTTAGCTGAACAACCTGCTCGCTGCCAGGTATTTGCTGATTTTTAGAAAATGGCAGTTCACTTCTGTGAAAAAAAAAACCACCTACAACAACCAACTTAATGCTACATAGGCAATATATCAGAGTTATGACTATCAAGAGTGAGACTGGATTGTTTTGTTTGTATAAAAAGCCCTTTTTGATACTCAAACACACTATGCTGGTTTTCTCGTGATCGTTACAAGCAGCACTCAAAGAAATGCAAGGCCAAACCAGCTACGTTATTCTTCATTAGATAAACACTTAATTGTGCGCAAGTGGAAAGATGTGAACTCTGACATACACCGCGTTTTGACAGTTTATAACAGATGTCCCCAATTGATGAAATCCATAGTATTTGGAAATAGAAACCTAAAAACTAACCAATTTCGTTTCCTTGACTATTGATAGGCCACTTACCTCAGGAAACCCAACCAGCACCAATAAAGTGAAGATATTGGTGTGCTTTAGCTGGAAGGGCAGTTGCTTAATGCAATGGTCAGTGAAAGCAGCGATCACATTATGCCACTGCGCAGAAGAGTTCAAAGATCGAAGAATATCTGCCATGGAGCTTGCCCAGTCCAGAC